TTTCCAGGGATTACTTTTTCCCCAGCTGGCTTCTTAAAGGCGCAATATAAAGAGATTACGGGCCTTCCCCTTTCATAAGAAAATATTGTGATTTAATCGCCGCATCTCACTTTTCACAGCTTAAAAGTTCAATTTGCATCAAGCATTGCAGGGACAAAAAATATACAACATTTGTCTTTCAAACTCATTGAAGCATTTGCAAGATGATGAAGATTTCCTGCAGAGGACAAACTGGCATTAATAACAATAGTAAGAATCAAAGCAACTTTGCATTCTTTAACTTTAAAGATCTACATATTTGTTCAAACAACAAACCTGACACTGAAAAATATGTGGTGAGGTGAAACTGCAGCAGCATTTCCTTTCTACAAACAGCAGATGGATGCTTTTGCTTGAGCTTCACTTCATTCACATAGTTATCAATTTGAACAAAACAGGATGTTTTATTACAAATATGTAACTTCTAAGTTCTAGATCGGAAGTATATTTTCGATTACTAAAATTATTTGTTCGTTTGGATTTGTTTTGTTGGTAGTCACTTGAGTCCAAAAGAATCTTGCCAACACCGAAATAATGTCCTGATATTACATATTTTAAGGAGGGACAATGTTTGAATTTGTGTCCTGTAATCCCTTTGGCATTATAAATGGAATTCTGGAAAGTACGTTATTATTGTAAAAAAAAGGCTTGTTTTTTCTTGTTCACTAAGGTGTTTCAAAAACCATTAAAACAACTTCTAAATTGCTTCTTAAAAGAGTCTGGCCCTTGTGAATTTGGATTTTGTAACCTGTGGTTCCACCAAATATTTCCTGGACACCAAAAATAATAATGTCAAACAGGTTACGGGGGGAAAACAAGAATATTTTAACGTCACAGCGGGCTATTTTAAACCCCCCCTTCCAAGTCAGTCATAGGAAAAAAACCGGAAATTGTGTCGGTGCGTTTGCTCACAGAGAGGTGACCACAAAAAAAGAATCACGGCACCTTTCAATTTGTTAATTTTCACATGTTTCAGAGCTATTATTTCGAACATTAATGTAATGTGCACACTGGTTGTTCAATTTAAAAGTCATATTTTTTACAGGAAATTACAGACAAAACAATTAATCTCAAAATTTATTATTAGTATTAATAACAATATTTATTATTACCAATAACGGGCCATATTGTGACTTAGTAAATATTTTATACTTGTTGTCACACGCAGATCTTTTGGACATTCAAAAAGGTGAGTAATCAATAGTAATAATGTCGTTTCTATTGAGTCCATTCGGTTTTGGTCTGTGGGCAAATCCCCCATAATGCCACCGTGCAAGGGAGAAATGGCTTCTGTGGTTTCTTTATGGGGCTTTGTTATACACAAAAAATGCAGAAAAACTCTATCATTAAAGAAATGAAACTTATGTGGAATGGGGGAGTGAAGGCTGAGCAGGCGTTTTTCCTCTTGCTGGTTTGTAATAAGGAGGAAGTGTTAACGAAACTGTACAAGCACCTGGTGATTTTCCCAGGCGGTTCTCCCCTCCCCTCCAAGCTTACGTTAACCAAGTCCGAACCCTTGGCTTAGCTTCGAAGATCGGTACGAGAATCGGGGCAGTGTATCAGGGTGGTATTTGGCCGAAGCGAGTATTTCGAATCCTGCAAAAGGACCTTTTTAAACATTGTCGTGTTGCACCGTGATTCTTTCCTGTTTCTGCTGTACTGGCTTCTCTTACTCCTTGTTTCAGCAAAAACGGTTTTTATGTTTTTACTGCGATTATTAACATGTCCCAACACCTGAAAAGAGCAATTTATATTGTTTAACTTTAAATTGGTAGTCAGTGATACGTATGTTAATTGACAGAATTTTAAGGGATTATTTAACTTCATTTGCTTTTGTATTTGTATTTATAGTACGTTTTGTTCTAAAATGTTTGCAGGGTTTCTTTTTTTTTGATTAAATAATTGGCTCTAAGTATTTTGAAGGAGGAGATGTCCTCACTAGTTTAATTCAATGCCATTGTCTGTACATATTGAACAGAGTCCTAATAACAACTTTAGGTCACCTTCCCAAATGGATCATTCTCCTTAATAGTTGCTGCAGCTTTCACTTGTTTTTGAACAGCACTAGATTTCTATCGGGGCCCTCTATAAAAAGAGGAAAAATGAAAAAGGTTTCTGCCCGTTAAAAGGCAGTTTTTCCTTGCCCCCGTCGCCAAGTGCTTGCTCATGGTGGTACTGTTGGGTCTCTGTAAATGTTATAAGGAGTTCGGTCTAGACCTGCTCTATTTGAAAAGTGTCCTGAGATAACTTCTGGTTTGAATTGGTGCTATACAAATAAAATTGAATTGAATTGAATTGAAGTAATAGAACGTCTTTACCTTTACTTGTCTCTGGACCGACTGCAATGCAACACTCCTCCTCTTTTTTTATTTATAGCCAACCATCTGACTTAAAGGAAGTCCACACGTTGTGTTAATCATTACTGACTGAATTTAACTTATTGTGCAGCACAAAGGGTTATTAAAATTTGCTAAAAATACAGGATTGCTCCCCTAATAATAACTGCACAAAGGTGTCCAATCTATTGATAAATTGAAGATTTTTTTGAAGACTCTTCCTGTCAGTTTGGTCTATCTGCATTTGGCCCATTCCTTGACAGTAAAGTCTGGCCAGAAATGAAAATAGAACTTAATGAGGTTAAACATTTTAACCAGCAATGAACCTGGTTCAGCCTATAGGTGCCTCCAGCCAATGTGCTTGATAATCAAATAGCTCTGCGTCATATCAATAAAAAAATGCATGCATTGAAGCTGTTCCTTAAAGTTTTTTTTATTATTTCCACAATTAAGTGTTTAATAACATTGAGCTTTATTGAGCCAATCTGATCTTTTGTTTAGTTTTTACTCAAGCTTTCATGCACAGTGCAGCCATCGTCATCTCTCCCTACTGTTTGCCTCACCCCACTTTGTTTTTGTCAGCAAATCTGACACAACCACATTCAACACACCACTGCAAGTGCAAACTAATTATGGGGCTCCTGGATAGCTTACCTGGCAGAGCTGGCACCCCATGTATCAAAGCTGAGCCCTTGTTGCAGCAGCCTGGGTTTAATTCCAACCATTGGTCTTTTTTCTCTTATATATGGACGGATGGATGTAGTATTTGCATTGTGGGATACTGTCACTTGAATACAATGTATTTCCTTTATACACAGTCAATCTATTGCTGTGTGCGTCATTTTGGGTGGATGTTTCATATCTACTGAGTAGTCTGATAATAAATAATTAACCTCAGAGAAGAAGATCCGTTTCAAAGAAATCATGTGACCAAAAAGAAAGTGAAAGGAAGTCAATAGGTTTTCTACATGTTTAAAAAGCTGCAGCATCACACTAGACATCAACTCAAAAGACAAAGAGTCACACCCCAGTGACCAGTTCAGTACCTATTTCGTTCCAGAACAAAACATTTTACTCTTTTGTGTTCACTGACATCATGGGCTTTGAGGCTGATAAAGGAGTTGGTGTGGAGGACATCAAACTGGCCATGAAGGGACACATAAAAAGCACAAAGTACAATTACTGAATTAGTTATTTATTAACCTGGTTAATCTTTGTTGGCCTTATTTTAGTAACACAATCCAGCTTTGTGATCCGTTTTGAATAAACAATTGTATTCACGTAAAAATATTTTCTTATATATAAAAAACTATTTACTTAAGTCATTCTTTAATTAATCTTTAAAAAACATTTTTTTCCAGTTCAATCCTCTCTCTACAATATCTAAGGATGATCACAGCTACAACAACAACCCCACTCTAAATGACAAAGTTCATGTTCTGGTTTGTGTCGTCCCTGCCAGCATATCAAATTTGTTTAAATTTAGATGGAGGAATTGAGTGTGTCGCGGGGTATTCCACTGAACTGCATCTTTCCTGTGAAGAACTACCACTCAGAGATTGACACAGATGATGACACTGATACACTGATACT